CAGCACCGTGGTTTGAAGCGGCGCCGGCTTTTCCTGCCATGCTGGCTGCTTAGAGTGCTCCCGGGGCCGCTCAGCTGTTGCGCGCCTCGATGCTGGTGCTGAGTGGGAGGATCGCCCCGAAGCCTTAGTGGCAGGGGACTTCCCAGCCTGGTGTGCCTCTCCTCTACGTTTGGGAGAGGAAGAGGCTGGAAGGGAGCGGGATGGAGAGGCTCTCGCTCTCGGGTAATTCCTGGAAGGCGGGGGAGGTTCTTGCCGCACTGTAGGTTGTTCCCCCGCAGGCTGTAAAGCTTTTTCAAATAGAATCATCCTGAGGAAGAGCTCATGATCTTTTCTGGCTCTCGCCATCAGGGAATTGCAATGGGTACAGTTGTGAGAAGAGTGAGTCTCCCCCAAACAGCGTATGCAGTTTGAGTGACCATCTGGGTAGTAAAGGGTGATAATCAAATGGTTCGCCCCATTAGCTTCCCAAAGAAGTTTCATTGTCTCTGTCAGGAAATTGGTTCCAGAATCTGTAAGGATGTCTGAGGGCCAACCTCCCCTGGCAAAAATATCTGTTAGTGCCTGGCACAAGCTCTTGTCCTTGATGTTCCCTAGAACTACCGCTTCAGTGTCAATTGCTGACACCTGTCTCCAGTGTCGCTCCATGCAATAAGCTTCTCCCCCACACTCAAAGGCCTCCCTTTGCTCTGGGATATTTGAAAGGCATCTGGGTCTGAGGACTTAGTGTAACCCCAGTGCAATGAACTGCACTCTGCTGGTGCTATTGGAGCAGTTGGCCTTCACAGGCCCCAGCTCATTACATTTAAAACATCGTCCAGCTGGCTTGTCACCAGTGCAAGATGGGTTGCTGGAGAATGGAGTGGCAGGACAAGATGGTGTCTGGGGCTTCCCTTATAGTGCAGAGGGCTCCTCCATGCAATGTAGACCCTTGGATTGCCCCCGGGGGTGATATACCATGTCTGGGAGCCTTTCCTGGTGTCCCAACCAACTGCTGTTAGTTCTGTTCCTCTCTGTCACCTCTATCCATCTGGCTGTAATTTTCCTTCCCTCTGTTATTTTTTTGGGCTTCCCATCTAGGATGTTTCTTTGTATCTCTTCAGGAACACTCTCCATTCCATTCTCAATAGGAAAGATAGCTCTTCCGTGGTCTTAGCTTTTGTTCCTGATATCCATGTGTTCCAATTTTTGTCAATCTGGTAGGCATGTTGGGTGAATGTCATGTCTATTTTCCACCTCTAGGGCTCTGAAATGGTGATGTGCATATCCAGGGGTGAGTCCTGTCCTAATTCTGGTGTTTTGTTTTAAAAGTTCATAATCATTCATGTTTTCTCTAGGTATTTCAGATGCCACTTCTTCTAACGGTCCACTGAGTTGTGGCCTCACCTTCACCATGTTGGTCTGAGGAGATGCTGTATCCAAGTTAGGCCCTTTCAAAATTCTCTAAGAAGGCCTCTTCATCATCTCCTACCTTGTACATTGGGTATTTCTTGGGTTGGGGAGCATTATCTAGAGCAGGATGGTTAGTTAGTGTTGCTGGAGTGCCCAGCTTCTCAGTTTTCTCTAGCTCAAAGTACCTCTGCGTCAATTTTTAAGTACGTCATTCTTTCTCTCTCCTCCTCTTCCAAGCACCTCATCTGTAGGAAGAACTCCATCTCCTCCTTAGTTAGAGGTCTGCCTGCCTTAAAGATATCTTCCCACCTTGATGTCTGTGCTATGGGAAGGACAAGGCCACCACCATATCCTCCTGCCACCGAACGCTCATGGATATCCTTTTCTCCCTCATCCTCACTGTACAGGTCTGCCATGGAGGTGGACAACTGGTCCTCATCTGGGGCTGTTTCCATCTTGGTGTGCTATTTTGAGAAGGTTGGTTGCTCCAGGGCTACACTGCCTGACCACAAATGCATGCACGAGGCTGCTTTCCTGCCCTACGTTAGCCTACTTATCTAGTTGCCCCAAAAGCTAGAAAAAAATAAACTGTTTGGTTTGGACTCTCTGACTTTGCTAGTTGAACCTTCTTCATGTCCCTCCCCTCCGCCCCTCACCAGCAAAAAAAAAAAAAAACACCACCACCAAAACCCTAAAACTTTCAAAGTGCCAAAAAGGAAAGAGGAAAAAAGTGTCCTTTTAAAATCCTGAGGTCCATGCTCCTGGTTCAAAATTATCCCACCAGCACTGCTATCATGTCACGGTTGTTCCCCACTCCATCACTTTGAGTGCAAAAGGTGAGGGCTCACAAGAGACCATAAAGAAGCCCTGCCACTAATGGCTTCTGTTAAAAAAAACTTCCTAGGGGCAAAGATTCCCTGACCTGCCACTGCCCAAATGCAAAAATCTCTTGAGAGTCCAGGAAGATGCATTTGGGAATTTCTTCCTGTGGGGGTAACGCCAAGCTCTTTAACCCTTCCCAAGAGAGAGTTTGAAAACAAACAGTAATTTCTTAATAGTAGATCTTTATTAGTCTCAGGCACACAGAACTCCTGACTTTTAGGACACAGGAATTACATCATAGTCTTAATGTGGTTTTATTAACAAAACGAAGAAGATGTATTTGGAAAAGTGTATTTTGTTGCCAGATGATACAGAGCACCCAGGAAAAGGCCAATTAAAAGCACAGAGAATTTCTTCCATTGCATTCGGTTTAAAAGTTACAGTACATGGAGAAGGGGGGAGTGGGTTACCTGGATTCAGCATAGAGGGTTCACAAACCAGAAAATAACGTGATTGCATCTAACTAAACATTCCTTGTTCACTTACGTATCCTTTGTTATGAGGTTTAATCCTTTTTAGGCATGGATCTCACTGGAAATTTCATGCTTTTCCTGATTCAACCCATCTCTCTCCCAGCTCTCACTCTGAACTGACACAAAAGGCCTGAAGCAGGCAGAACCTGTTTCAATTTAAATCTCTCATTTTCTTCCCATTGGCTCTCCTGGCTCCCTGCCAACACTTTCTGGATACCCACTGTCTGTGAGTTTAACCCTTTACAGGCAATTTAGTTATCTTAATGGCTAGGATGTCTAGAAAAGGATAGTTCTATCCCATCTGTCACAGAGACCTACATCCAATCTGAGCTTTAATATGGACAAGAATTTAGGATAGCATAAGATGCTTCTCTTATTCTGCAGTGGCACCAGTCCTTCCCCACCCTGTCTGATGCAAGGTATATCAATAAGGACACATGGAGGAAACATTTTTCTGTTCTCCCCTGAGCTTGAGGTCTACAGTTGTTTCCTGTACACAGGAAAGTCTCTTTTGCTTCCCTACAAATCTTGCAGGAGGTTCAGGTACAGAATCTTGTAATACTGCACAGGCTATTCAGTGGAGTTTTGAATATCAATGAGGTTTTTTGGGGGAAAGAATATTAACTCTGCTTTTGATCCATGGTAGTTTGAGTGCCCTGAGTTTTGCTTTACATTTCAAATGAAGGAGAAAAATCTCAAAGCATACCCATAAACTGATACAGGACATTCAAATCTGGGCCACGGTTAATTTCAAATGGGAGCAATGTTCATGCAAAACAATAAGCACAAGTTGGCTCAGACTGTTTGTGGTATTTAGCCAACCCTTTGGTGACCTTGGTCTGAGTTGGAAAGTGTAACAAAACATGAGAAGAGGCAAGTTTCACCTGGTTTCACTTTTTACTGCAAACACTACGTGCACAAGGCTCTGTCAGTGTAGCCAAGTTACAGTTTTTGCAGAAGCTATGGTTCTGTACTTCTATTTGCAACCATCATGTTCTAATACTTTACACTGTGTTACCTTAGCCTAAGAAAAGAGAAAGTGAGGAAATAACAAATAAAACGTGAGCAGCTAACAAAAACCCCCACAACATCGTGCGCGCGCGCACACACACACACACACACTCTCTCTGTAGCAGATGCTGAGTTGTTGAAATGAGCATATGCATTACAGTGTGAGACACAGCTGGGAAAACAGTCAAGAAGAATTCAAAGATGTGCAAACAAAAAGAAGGACAAATAGCAATGTTTTTTCTTGTCTTATATGCCTATGTGAAGGATGCAGGAGGCAGACAGTGCACCCTGATTCCCTATATGTATGCTGACCTCTGGGACAGATTTTAATTCTCTTGTCCCGGTGTCCCTATAGGGTATTGAAATGTCCTGGAAAATGGCAGGTAGGGGAGAAAGCCCCATGGCTCCCCACCAGCAGCTGCAGTACTTCCTAGAGGCATTTACCTTTGCTCCCATTGGTCAGATTCTGACCAATGGGAGCAAAGGGGAAAGCCTCCAGGACATCCCTGAGAGGTTGTGGTTGCTGTGGGTTCTGGGGGCAGTGCGACTGAGCCTGGGCAGAGGGGCGGGGCTGGAGCTGGCTCATCCCACAGGGCCCAGTGACGCGTGGGCAGGGCAGCGACAGGGAGTGTGTGGCGACAGGAGTTATGGCTGCAGCACAAGCCCCTGGCGTGCTCCGGAGGGCCAGAGAGCTGCCACCTGCCAAGAGGCACCCTATGCCCAACGCCTATGTGAGGTGAGTGGCCCCAAGGCTAAGGACCCTCTGGGCTGCCTGGACTGTAACCAGCCTGTAACTAGGGGCTGTGGGTTGGTAGGATTTGGCCTTAGCCATCTGCAGGAGCTACTAAGCATCTGATCAGTGGGTCTGCTCTGTATGTGGTAAACTGAACCCTCAACATGTTATTGTTGGGATTAGGAACAACCGAGTGTCCAGTTAGTTGCTTGACCCAAATCAATAATGAAACAAGTGCTGGAAAACTCAGAACAATTTCTGCAACATTTGCATACACAAATGATGGGTGGGTCAACTGGATTTTAAGCTTTTTTATTTCCTACTCAAAATCATTAGACTAATTAGGCAGAAACCAAAACGTATTTTGGTTAAAAGGCAATAAAATTTAACTTAATTCCTTGGGCCATGTAACTACAAGCTCTAGCTATTGTGTGTGTACACCAAACAGAGATCAGATATTTTAAGAAGTTGATATATGCTTTACATGGAAAACCCTTTGCCAGAGTGCAAGGCGGGAGTAGCTATGAGAAATTAACCAGTATTAAACTATAGTCATAATGTCAGCTGTCTTCCCATAAAACTTCTATTAATTTGAAAGCCATTACTAATTTTGAGGGGAGTAAATTCTTGATAATCTTGGTACAGTAAAACCTGTGTTATCTGGCACACTCGGTAATTAGGGCATTCCAGTTAACTAAAAATTCCTGTTATCTGAGGGTCCCATCAACCTAGGAAAAACCAATGGACAATAATAGTAAAACTCAAGATTTTAGTATTAGTAGTTTTTGTAGTGTGAGGCAGTTGGTCTCACATTTATATTTTGAGTTAAAGATTATTAGTAATTCTTAAATAAAAAATTAAGCCAATCATGGTAAGCCAAGCCAAGCCTGTGTGCCTGAAGATGTGACAGTATTGTGGCTGGGGGCAATGCTGGTTAATGGTTTTCTACTTAACAGAGTGCCGGATAACAAAGGTTTCACTGTATTTGAAATCACAGTTAAAATGTATATGAAACGATACAATTTTAATAGAATGATTAACAGACAGTGGCACATCCACAGTGATGAAAAGGAGGAGGGAAAAGCTCACCACAAGGTGACGAGGATGGGTGTCCTTCCAAGCATCAGGAGCTTGGCCCCCGCCCTGGCTCTGCATTGCTCAGCTCCTGCCCGCGGCCACCTGCTAGGAGCTGCTGCCAGCCCAAGTGAGTGAGCAGAGCCTTCCTTTCTAAGCTGCTGGCACTAGCCCCACTCATAGGGCACAGTTACCCCAGGCGCCAGCACCAGCTCCCCATGACAGCTCCTTGCCCCTATGCACAGTGCCACCAGCACCAGCACATACTCTGCCCCTGCACTCAGCATCACCACACACCTTGCCCCTGGGCACAGCACTACCTCCACACCCTCTGCCCCTTCCCCTCAGTGCCACACCCAATCCTTCCCACATCCTGTTATTCCACCAGAGCCTACTTACGTATCCTGTCCCTGTGCACAACACTACCACACGTATCCTGCCCAAAGTGCCACTTCCACACAAACTGCCACTACACACAGCTTCTCCAGCACACTGACTCCATTCCCTTAGGCACAGCACCGTCAGACACAGCACCACTAGTACACCCACCTCCCTGCCTCTACATGCTTCACCATCTCCACACACCCTCTCCCAGTGCCACCTGCATCTCCACACTCATGCATACACACACTACACACAGGCACAGCACTATCATATAAACCCTGCCCCCCCCCACACAACACATCACCTCCACACAATACACCAGCACATCCTATGGGGCCCAAACTCATCCTGATTGGTAAAGGATGGTGGGAGGAGTTCTTAGAGGGGTCACACAACCTACTTCTGGACCAATTATCTGCCCCGGAACTCCCCTTGATAGGTCAAATCTGCTCTCAGGGCAGTTTTATTGGACCCATTCCCATTGGCAGAGGACAGTGGGAGGAGTTTTCAGAGGGGTCACACAACACCCTTTATTACCGGTCACATGTCCATCTTAACCCTGGAAGTATTACCTCCAGGGGTGGGACTTTGTAACAGGTGGGCACCTGTTAATGAGTCTGGGTTAATGTGGTGTGGTTAATGAGGCTGAGGGTGTGACCAATGTGTTCCTATTTTAGGTTCAGGAAATATGGTCTCCGTATCTATGTAGCTACCAACACAGCAGAGTGGAGAGCAGACACCATGGAGCTGCTACTGCCCTTCCCAAGTAGGGAGGGATAGAGTGAGCAAGCAGAGGGGAGGGCTGTGCAGAGCCCTGGCTCTGTCCACACAGCATTCTGACCAGTGAAGCTGAGCTGGACCAGCACTGAAAGGGAAGTATTCTGTACCTGTTGTAGTTCAATAGCAGATTACGTCTCTTTCAGAGAATGGGAGTATCCAGGTAATGAACTGTGACTCGGAGTCGGCGCCATAGTTTTGTTCCCAGGTCCACTCAGTTGCAGGCTGCTCCTCCCTCAGGGCAAATTATGGTCCAGCCTAGTCTAAAGAGAATGACTGAAGTGTGTGTATATGGGACATTACAGGTTTGGATCATGGCTTGGTAATGTGGTGATAACCTAAATGGTTCCATTCATATAGGCAAGACTTAACATATTTTAGTAGAGCTCAGGCATTCCCCATATTAAACTATTGCTTCCTCGCCCCCACTTCTGCTCCAGTAAATTGCGTTGTTTAGAGAGATCCAAATACGTTCATGCTAATAACTTCCTTTAGTATTTGCATATTTTCTCCTTTTTACATTTTTTCCAGTTGTCTCATGTTGCACAGAATTTACCAAACTTTCCCCAACTTTCACTCTTGTATTAAAAAGAAGCATGAGCAATTGTAGCTTAAAAAGTGATTCCACCGAATGTGCTAAACACTAGAAGACGTGACTATATGATGAAAGAGTAGCAGCAGTAATGCTGCACATGCTGGTTTCTGTTCTATAGAGCTAAGGTACCATGATTATGAAAAGTGTCTGCCTACATACAAAATCACATGTAAAAGCTTAATAGTCTCCATGTTCCTCAGTGTCTTGCCTCCTTTCTTCCACAAGCATAATATTTTGCCATGCCACTTGCCTTATTGTCCCCTAAAAGACAGAGGGAAGCTCTGTGCAGGTAGACAGAGCTAAGTTATAACTGAATTTCCTCATGTATAAACTTTTATTTTCTTACCTGTATTTTATGGTTATTGTACGCCAGGAGTTTCATAAGTGAGCGTATTTAAAGTTAGGCTCTGAAATCTGAGGGTGTGAGTATCAAGCATGTTCAAGTGATTTAGGAGCATTGAAAGTCACCTAGGTCACTTGAATGCTTTGAAAACCCCACATTAATTCCATATTTAGCCCTCTACACTTTTCAAAACTGCTGAGCACCCTGCACTTCTGGATGAAGAGTTCTTGGGTACTCCATACTTTTGAAAATTAAGCCACCTATTTAGGCTCATTGATTAAATACAGAACCCCATGTGAGATAGGTAAGTATCGATAGCCCCATTTTCAGACACAGAGAACTGAGTCACAGAGACATAAACTCAGAATCTGGAGAAGGACCAAACACCCTGGCATTCAGTTCAGTTCCAACAATATGGATGAGGGTCTGAATCAGAGGTGGGTGCAACAACACAGTGGCATTTCACCAGGGTTATCCCTTGGTAGGCCTCTGCACTATGTTTACCTGCAAAGCCACAGGTACTGTGATCGCAGCTCTCATTAAGCAATGGGCTTAAACTGCAGTAAGGGAGGTTTAGTTTGGACATTAGGAGAAACTTTCTGTCTGGGTGGTTAGATTCTGGAATAAATTGCCCAGGGAGGTTGTGATATCTCCATCACTGGAGATATTTAAGAGAAAGTTAGATAGACATCTTTCAGGGATGATCTAGACTGTGCTTGGTCCTGCCATGAGGCCAGGGGACTGGGCTTGATGATGTCTCAAAGTCCCTTTCAGTTCTAGTGTTCTATGATTTTATGATTCCAGAGGGTCCCTTTACTATAGGAGGCTCTGACTTTTACTGGGAGGATCCAGCACTAGAGACTGTAACTCCCATGAGCCCTTGGGAGGAAAAAAGAGAGAAAAACTCTTGCTTTCTTCCAAGGAGAGAGGGAGAGGGGGAGGGGAAGGGTCTATTTTGGAGAAAGGAGCCAGATTGCTGGTGTGGAGCCTTTTCTAGGCCAGGAGCTGTTATGTTGGAGCTAGAGCCTGTTACTGAGAGCGTGGATCTAGCAGGCTGCTTGAGGGGCTGTTGGTGATTGTTCCTGGAGGAAAGAGACCCTGGCTGTAACTGTAGCTGAGAAGGGCTTGCATAATCATGCATAGAAGTAACTATGTGTAACTGTGGCTCTTTGGGAAAGTGCTGCCTGGGACGGAGCACAAAAGACAAACTGACTGTAGGTCCAAAGAGAGCAAGAGTGATCTTTCCAGTGAACCAGAGCTGCTGGCATTTGATGGGGCCTGCTCCAGTGGCAGAGCGATTTCCCAACTGGCTGCCTGCCTGGACTGACACACACAAAACCTGCACAGTACTGTCTCCTCTCCAGCTACACATCTTCAAGCGAGCACCCAGCAAGTAAGTGAATCCAGAGGAATGTACACGCTGGAGTGGGTTAAATGGTGGCAGTGTAAATGCCAGTTAGATAAGTTTCCGTTATTTTTGTGTACTTTGCTAGTTGATTGTATTCACTTTTAATCTGTTAAACCCCATTTCTTTAGGTTGTTAAGTAAAGGTGTGTTAATTTTAATTCAGTCAATTAGATATATATTATTTATAGTCGTTTTGGAGTTAAATCCAAATTATTACTGGAATAAGTTTATTCCTGGAGGCTCCCAAGGCACACCATTAAGTGTGTACAGGGCCAGCCAGATGGAGGTACCACCATTGTATATTCCTTTAGGAGTAAAGGGGGTAGATAGGGAATCTCCAGCTATACATCATCACCACTGGGGTACTCAGGATCTCATCTTGTTAAAAACATCAGGTGCCCAGGCACAGATGTGAGTGTGGCCTGCTCCTGAGTAATCCATGGAGGAAAGAGGGGGTTACAATTCTTTGATTCCCAGCCAATGGATGTGGCACAGACTGGGACACCACTTCCTGCCACTCCCATTGGCGATCTGTGGCCAATGGGAGCTACAATTGCTGGAACCTGCAGCTATGCAGGTAATTTACCTCCAGGAGCTAACCCTGGATCCAGCCTACAGGCTGGTATTTCCCCACCCTTAGTCTGAATGAGTCTGAATATCTTTGGTTTAGAAATCAGGATAGAAATCTCAGACAGATTTTACAGAAAATTTCTAGTATGTGGTACTTTTGTTCAGGCTGGAAATTCCAGAAAATCAGTTGTTTTAGCAGTAATGCCATTGCTGCAGAGAGCATGGATGAAATGCCAGTCCCATGACTTTTGCTATTCATTTCAGTAGGGCCAGGATTTTATCTCATGATCTCTTCCATATTTCAGACAGTCCTGAGCAAACTTTTTGTGCTTAATAAAATATGTTAAAAAAAAAAAACCCTTTTGTTTCCATTTCCTCACACAGCTTCCATATGCAGAGAGAAGAATGAGATGGACTTTTCAGCTTCGAAAAGAGATGACTAAGGAGAGACATGATAGAGGTCAATAAAATCATGACTGGTCTGGAGAAACTAAATAAAAAAGTACAGAAGTTCACATAACTGCAACAAAAATTAACTAGACTGTTTTTTGCATCTCAAAGTTTGGTTTGCGTTTTTAACTGAAGTTCACATTTCTCTTTTCTCTAAACCAGTTCATCCATTTTAAACTACAACACAGCATCTGAATTTAATTTGAATATGTAACAATCCACAACATTAAACAATGTGAAGTGGAAAAACCATTTGGCATCAAAACATGACATAGTCTCATTACGCTTTTGCCACTAACATTAAACTTTTTCTCATATAGGTCTGCTGAAACTATCCCAGTCATCTTTGTTATCTTGCAGTGGTTTACACTGTCATAGAAGTGGTATTTTAACCAACACATACAGCATCTTGAAGTTTCCTGATGATTTATTCACATGCATACACAAACGAGAAAATGGTGTTCAGGTAGGGAACTTTACAAAAACTGTGTTTTCCTGTTTACACAGTTGAGTCAACAGTTAAGGCTTGCCAAGTTTATTTTAGCTTTGAACAACCCAAAGCTATTTTTTCTAATATCTACTTAGCCAGTTTTTTTGTGTTGCATACCCAAGACTTCCTGCTTCAGGATAACAGACCTCAGTTGACTATGAAGGGCATCAGAACCTTTAGGTGGCACATCAGCATGCGGTGCTATTTTGATTCACGGCAGCAGAAGATCCGGTATGAAGGTATCAGGAACAGAGGAAATGTAATAATGTGAACTGATTTTACTGGCTGGGGGAAATAAAGGTTGCTTCATTTATATGTAGATCTGGCTGAATACCACTGATACAGGAGATTAAATCTTGGCCCCATTGCAATCAATGAAAATTTTGCCATTGACTTCAGTGGGGTTAAGATTTCACCCAGTATTGAAAAAGTTCAATTCAAACCCACTTTATTTTCCTGCCTTTCCTAACATTTGCAGAGATAGGGCTTTGCTTGTATGAGTATTTGAAGCATGGCATTTTCATTGTTTGTACAAAGACCATTGTTTGTATGCGAAGAGGGGTACTCTTGAATGAATTGGAGCATTTGTTATTCATTATTGTTTGAAAATTTTCTGTTATCTAATTAGAAATAGTTTCATCTGATTTATGCAGCCAATGCAAATAGTCACAAACGTATGTGATTAATGTGCACAATTTGAGAACCACACATAAACTGAAAATTGTTAGTCTAAATTTTTAAGCAAACTCTTGTGAATTGCAAATTCATTTTGTGAATGACTTGCAAGCAGGAAAACCATCTAAAGTTTGTTGTTAGATGTATTTTTTATTAATATATTGAATAACTGTAACTGTATTAATGGATTTCAGAAGCATGGTAATAATGTTTAGCACTTAATTTATTCTGCTCCACAACTGGCATAAATCCACAAAGCCCCATGAAACTTCAAAGAAGCTACGGCTATTCACAGCAGCTGAAAAGTTGGCCAATACTATTTAGTTTGGATTTTTCCTAAATCTGTCACAAGCTCTAGGTTCATTACATCTAAAATCTTATATAGTGCTTTCCTATCTTAGAAAAGCAGTGCTAACATTAGGTAATTTTTGCGTTTCCTTTCAACCTGCCACATTGTAGACTATTTGATTGTATAAAACATATAAAGGTATAGTGCTGAAGAGACACTGACCAATGCAGATCTTAGCTACCCTAGAGATGTGAGAGTGGGTCCATTTTGGTGTGGTTTTATGTGACACTTTTGCCTGTGGTTTACATGTGTTAAAAGTGCTTTGTCTAGCGAGCCACTGGTATACAGTCAGAATGTGTTGTTGGTTTTATGGCTTGAGAATGAATTACTGTGGTCTGAATGTTTCTCACGTAGATCAGGACTCAAGTTTCTCTTAATTGCATAAGAGAAATGGTTTGTGTCTCCTGGAAAAGTTTCAAATGTTACAGATGAGAACAGAGGTGTTATACTGTGAAATACTCCTCCCCACTCCCTTTTTATTTTTCTTCAAGTTGTAGTAGGGGAGGTCTAGGTTGAATGTTAGGAGAAACTATTTCACTAGGAGGGTAGTGAAGCACTGGAATAGGTTATCTAGGGAGGTGGTAGAATCTCCATCCCTAGAGGTTTTTAATTCCCAGCTTGACAAAGTCCTGGATGGGGTGATTTATTTGGGGGTAGGTCCAGCTTTCGGCAGGGGGTTGAACTCAATGACCTCCTTAGGTCTCTGTCAACTCTAAGATTCTATGATTCTATGAAAATGGTCCGCTGGAGACTTTTAGGTGATACATGGGCTTTTTAGTTTGGTTTATTTTATATGTCACTCTGAACAAAAATATGAATATATAAGAACATAAGAACTGCCGTACTGGGTCAGACCAAAGATCCATCTAGCCCAGTATCCTGTCTACCGACGGTGGCCAGCACCAGGTGCCCCAGAGAGGGTGGACCGAAGACAATGATCAAGCGATTTGTCTCCTGCCATCCCTCTCCAGCCTCTGACAAACAGAGGCCAAGGACACCATTTTATCCCCTGGCTAATTTGGGGTCAGGAAAGAATTTTTACCTGGGTCAGACTGTTGAAGACCCTGGGGATTCCTGTCTTCCTTTACAGAAAGGGGCATGGGTTGGGGTGGGCAATAATTTTTGGTGGGGAGAGTTATGGTTGCCAGATGGTTTCAACAAAAATATCTGACACACTTGACATTGCATCACAATTTACATTGCATCTTATTTAGAAAATACCAGACATTTATATTTTCTCATTTATATTTTTTCAATTTGTTTCCCGAACAGAAAGCTCAAATACTGGACGGTCTGGTTCAAAACTGGACACCTGGCAACCCTAGGTGGCGCCACTCCAAGGCTTTGGAAAGTGGTCAAGGGCCACACTTTTCTGTGCTGGTAGTGTGGGGTCTAAGACAGAGGCTGGATACAGAAGGGCACACAGGGTAAGAGACTGGGGTGCAGGAGACAGTGTGAGGTCTGAGAGGGAGTTTGGATGAAGGAGGGGGTTGTGACCCAGGTCAGGGGATTGGGGTGCAGGGTCAGGGAGGCTGTAGGGGGTGCAGGAGAGGATTCTGGCCCGGGGGAAGGAGTGTAGGAAGGGGTACAGGACCTGGGAGGGAATTTGTGACCTGGGGCAGGGGAGTGCAGAGGGTTTGGATGGTGACTTGGGGGAGGGAGTCAGGGTGCAGGAGGGGCAGGGGTGCCAGAAGTAGGTAAGCGCCTCCCAGCCAGAGCCTAAGCCAGCAGCCTGGCAGCCTCCCCAAGGCAGGCTGGGCTCCCTGCCTGCTGCAGCCCCAGATCACTTAAATCTGCAGACTGTTCCCTCTGTGTGGCTGTCAGCTCCGGGAGGGGGAAGAGGCTTGCACTGCTCCAGTCCCCCAGGCCAGTCTCTGGTAGTTTCTTCCTGTCATCTGTAGAAATGGGCTATGCGCACGAAAGCTCTTTAAGGTGCTACTAATCTATTGTTGTTTTTTAAGTTTTTCTTGTTACAGACTAATTTGGCTACCCTTCTGAAGGTGTATATATTTGATTTTTTTTTCAGTACTAGACATTAAGTTCTGTTAGTCTGTGAATAGAAACTTTAACCATTCTAAAAAGTTAAACAGCAAGTAATAAGAACATCAAGATTAAGGATACATTCAGTAAGTTATATAAATAATTAAAAATCTAAAGTGGAATGGGCCTAGAGCAGTATTTCCCTACCAGTGGTACGAATACCCTTAGTGGTACTCAAGAGAAGTCTGGGAGGGTATGTCGACACCCCTGAAATTTGGAGAAAAGTGAATTTTTGTTTTAAGTTTTAGTGCTTTATTATTTTTGTAATTTTTAAATCCAAAAATTTCATCGCCCGTCCAGCTATGATTAAGTTGTTTAAAAAAATGTGTTGCAATGGTAGAAATTTTTTGTGTGTGTCTGAAAACTATAGGTCCTGGGGGTACTTATAATTTTTTTAAAGGGCTACTTTATTAAAAAAGGTTGAGGCACACTGAACTAGAGGGATGGGTTGATTAGTGAGGAAGACAAGGCTAGAGCATAGAATCAGTTGCCATTGGATACTGAGAAAGGGGGATAGCTGTGATCGTGAAATATTAGAAGAACTTGATTTGCTAAAATACAGAAACTTCTGAAAAGGTAGCCAGGGTTCTGATAATTTACATAAAGCTGGTTATAGCGCATCTTGGCTCTGTCTAGACAGCAGCGCTATTTAGGGGTACTGGAAGTATCCCAAAATAGCTATTCCACATCTTTAAATGCATACAGCATCCCTGTAATCCTCATTCCACAAGGGTTACAGGACTTGTCAGAATAGCACTTTATTTCTAAATTTGGCGCTATGTAGACAGTGCCAAATTTCAAAATAAGTTATTTTGAAATTACCTTGAAATAAACTACACAATTTGCATAGCGCAAATTGCATAGCTTATTTTGAGGTAAGGGTGCAATGTAGACACACCCCTAATTTTTTAGTATTCATGATTCAGTAGCATCTTATTCTAACTATAGAAAATGTGAAATCTGCTAGACAATACTGCCAATCAGACAGTAGTGTTTAGTGATTATCAAGCATCAGTGTATGAATTTGTCCGAATCAACAAACCTAAAGTTGAGGCAAGTGCTAGGAAACAAACTATTGAATAGACGGATGTAATGAAAACACATTTCTTGTAAGGTAAAAGGTGATTATTATCAAGAGTGCCAAGTAGTAAGATTTAGAAAAGATTTGTGCTCATGACAAAAAGTGCAGTAAACCATTTTCTATGGATTGTTCAAGATCAAATGGGCCGCTGAAATAAACTTTGATCAGAATATCCATAAAAAGGAAATCTTAGATTACTATTCTGCATCCTTATTTAGGCATGGCAAAGTCCTGATTTTCAAAAGTACTGAGTCCTCCGTTAGCCTCAATCGGAGCTTTTGGATGTTCAGCACTTCTGAAAATCAGGATTTCAATAGACTTTAGACAAGGTACCTATTTCTTGTTCAAGGTCTTTTAGGGTGTTCTACACAACTATTCAAATTGTGTAGCTTATTTTGAGGTAATTTTGAAATAGCTTATTTCAAAATTTAATTTTGAAATAAAGCACTAGTCTGACAAATCCCTTAACCATCATGAAATCAGGGTTACAGGGATGCCAGAATAGTGTGCCCATTATTCCAAAATATATTTTGAAATAACAGGCATGTTTAAAGTTGCGGAATTGCTATTCATGATACTTCAGTA